TTATTTTGGAAATACGCTAGTGTACATACATTATCAAGTTTTGCATTTAGAGTGGATGGGATGCATGCACTCACCTTATAGTAAATGAATAAGGAAAATGCTCTGATTTAGTTTCTGTTTTGGGTTTTTTTTTTTGTGTGTGTGTAATTGCTAGTTGCTAAATAGTTAAGTAACTCCTTTGCTATTTTTTGCTGTATTCACACTTCACCTCTGTTTGGTTTATCCGTTTACTCAACGTTACACTAAAGCCTGGAAGAGTTGTGTTTTTGAGAGAATTTTGGAAAGGGGAATTTGTGAGGTTTTTTGTTTGTTTGTTTGTTTTTTACAAACGGGATTTCAAAAAGCAGTAAGGTACAATATTTTTGTTTGCAGTGATGTTTGTACATGCTGTGTAGGTAAGACTAATTTTCACGAATAAAGGTTGTTCCTCTTCAAGAGAAGTAAGTAACAGCCAGTATATACAGCCAAGAATTCTTGAGCTTTTGCTTATGGGTTGAAACAGTTGAGGAGATCTCAAGCAAGGCTGAGCTCTGCTTTGTAAGGCAGTTTCTGAACATGTAGTAATAGCTAATAGTCCTCTCAAAAGGTCAGCGAGCACAATGGAGGAGATAAAAGCTGGGAGAAAAGGTATTTTCATTTTATGCTCTCTAATAAAACTGTTTTTTCAAAGATGCACAATAAAGTGAGGAAAAGCTTGACAACTGTATTTTGCATTTTATTATGAAATACAGAACATTCTTCTGTGTTGTATCTCCTCAGCATGTTTGGTTTTATTTAAGTTGTGTTTTACCACAGGTAAACAAATTATGGGGAAGCTTTCTCAGTTCTGCCAACTGGCTCATCCCTTGTGCTGGCAACTGACCGCTTAAGAATGGTGTCTAAACAGAATCTCCATTTTAATCTGTTCCACATCACTTCAGTGAAACCATAATGTGTGAAGATAGTTCTGAGAAGCAGAGTATTAGATAGGTGAACTTCATCTCAGGCCTTAGAGACCTTGTTAGTGCATCTTTAAATAAATAAATTTCCTTTCCTGTGACTCTTGAAATTGCTTTTTCTGACTGAGGACTGACGCTTCATTATCTTCATATAATAGAAGATCCAACTCTCTTGCTTTGCTTTGTGTTATAAACAGTCTACATTAGAAAGTAAGCCTCTGGTGCAGGTGACTTTCACTGAATGCTGCTCTGCTTTGTGATAAGAAGCAAAGGTAACAAGCAAAAACTCCCTGTTGAACTATGTATATGCATCAGTACCTTGTATGCTGGCTCTCTGGATTGTATGCAACAGTTTCACAATCTTTAAGTGAAAAAGAGTAATTAAAGTCTTTTTAAAAACATTGTTTTCCTGAGAGGGACTTCCATGAAAGTATTTCAGAAGAGACTCCCTATTTTTTCCAGAGCAAAAGGGAATCTGCCCGTGTGCTTAAACATACTACATGTTACCTGTGCTTCCTGTTCTGTGCTCTTTATTGACCCGTGACCAGGCAGTTGGTACGCTACAAGTCTTTAAAATGGCTTTAGTTCTATAACCACTCATTGCAGAGGCCTTGTTCCAGGCCACCATGCCACAAATATTTCATCTTCTGTTCTTGCTTGCAGGTGCACAGACATACTGTACTTTTTCAGAAATGGCTGGTTGATTGGTGATGGACCTAGAAGACATATTTTTGGACTAAAACTAATTTTTCAATATTGCTTTTAAGTAACGTTTTAGTTTCTTGTACATTTTCTGTGACTAGAAGTGCAGCGTATAACATCTGTAATAGTATAAGCAGTGGTGGTTTATACATATAAACAGTAAAGTCGTCTCTATTACTGTTGTTGGTGAGAATTTATGGTGCTTAGCTGTAGGTACATAATTAACCTCCTTCTACTCCTAACACAGCTGTTGAATCCTGAACTCTGGAATAATATTCTGAAGAGGGAAATGTTATGGTGCTTATCTGTACTTAAGCTTTAAGCTGAAAAATAAAGTTAGCACTTCGAGTATTTGGTGATCAAAATGTAATGGATAGTCAGAAATGCTGGAAGTGCCTGGTGACACATTTTAGCCAAAGTTCTGCTTGGAATTCATAGCAGGCACTTTACCTGATGTTCCTCTTATTGTTTAGAAATGCTGTTTGTTAGTCCATACTGATCTCTGTTGTGATTTAATTAGCCGTTGGAAGGAGTTAATGTGTTGTTTCATTAACTTTATTGATATTTATAATAAATGTTTGTATTATTGACAATGCAGCTGTTGTCTACCTGTTAATTCAGCTTTATGCTTGAAAAACAAGTCTTATATTCATATATTTTGCTGCTTTTGAATACTCTGTCCTTGTCTGAACAAGGGAAAGGCATTTTCAAGTGTTGCTGGGTGCATAGTTGAGCAAAGGTGAAACACCATGCATTCAGTGGCAGTTAACACTGTTCCTTCTAATCGGAAAATGCCAGCTTTTTGAGGGGCCAATGGTAGATAAATCTGTATCTAGATTTGCCTCTCAATGTCTGTGAGCAAAGAAAGAGCTTCCCTCTACTTCCACCTAAAGAACAAGAGTCCTCGCAGGGACTGAACGGTGGCTGATGATGATTACTTACTGCTACACTCTAGATGGAAAACTTAGAGCTTTTCATACCTAATCTGTCCAAGCATCTTTGGGCTCAGTGAATGTAGTTTAAATGCCTCAGTTGCGTTTTACATGTTATTTTTAGTGTATGAGTGAACATGTCGATACTCGAAATATCAAGAATAACTTCCTAAGACGTGTTTTACGGAGTTAGGAAGCAGGTATTTTTTTTTTACAGCACTGGGCTATCCTGGGTTTCTCAACACCAGGGAGCCCCGGTTGAAGGCGGGATTACAACACGTTACATGAGGTTATGCATATTCATTACATTTCTGAAAATCGATATACGTTTTCATGTCATCTCCGATAACTATTTTACATATTTGCCTGCATGCGCAGTCCAGCCTCTCTGGAAGTTTTGGTGGTCGTCTGGTGGTTGAGGGAGGAAGTAAGTAGTCTTCCTCTTGATGCCCGTGAGTTGACCTCAGTTTTTGTGCCTGTGTATTTGGTGTTTCTGCGGTGGTCTCACAATTGTTTCTCAATCTGGTTATTACCTAAGTCTTACGATCAGGAGGTTAAGAAGTTAAATATATATATAGTCCTTTGTTCTTGCTGGCTGCGGTTCCTTGTGTAATCTTTTTCCATGTTCGTTTGTTTTGCAAGCCTAACCATTCCGTTAGTTCTCTTTTATATTATGGTTGGTTTGCAACTTAGTGATAAAAGTTAGTGATAAAAATTCTTTATTCAATGTACCCGTTTTTCATTCACTTCATTCTTCTAAAAAAAAAAAAATCTAAAAGCTCAAAACAAGCTCTTTAAGTACTGGACAAAATGAAGCATTCTTAATGAAAATACTGTATATTAATGTTAACTTCAGAATTGACTGTTTCTTCATTATTTCTGTGGAGCAAATTGCCAAATGGAGGTTTGTAGTTCTTGAGTATTGTGAGGATTCATTTTTGTCAGGTTAGACTATGTATAAATATGTGGGATTCTTTAGAAGGCATTAAGTTTACATTGCCAAGGGGCTTTGATATTTAGCAAAAAATTCGCTGTAGTGTCATAAATTTTGTTCTCCGCGGCATCCACTTTTCTAAATAATTTCTTTGGTTTTTGCTGGCATTCACTACAACGTCTGCTTTGCGGTTAAGCTTAGTAGCATGCTTTCACATGACAAGTCTTCCAGATTAATGTTGATTATTTTGAATTATGTTCCCATGTGCTGTATGTTGGGTGGTAGTGGACAGTAAGTTAAAAACATAGCCATGAGGAAGTGCTTATGTGTTGTAATTTTCTGTTCCCCAGCTTCCTGACACTTAGTTTCTTAATTTGTGGCTATTCAAATGTATCTGATTGTTGGCTGTTCTTTTAAACCTTACTTATTTTAATCCATTTTTCTGTTTGGAAATATCATCAGTTCTCTGAAAAACAGAATTTGTGGAGGAAAGTAAAATAAAATAAAATCCTAAGTATTCTTATACTTGAATCTTTTTTTTTTTTTTTCCCGAAGCTAGTTATGTAAAACTGCTAAGCACTTCTGGAAAATAAGTCATGGGTTATAACAAGATTATCTTACTTCCTAAACAGGTGTCTGGAAAATGGAGAAGACTTTGAACAGGATTCATCCAGTTTCTCATCCAGAAGCAACCTATTTTCTACAAGTATCATGGGAAAAAGATTTAGGCACTGGCTTTGGTATAATACTTAGTGATGGTCAATGTGCATGGACTGGGACAGGTAATAATGGAAACTAAAAAACATATTTTAAATTGTTACTGTTTTTCATTATTTTTTTTAAAACACTTCCTAAACTGTGACCTACAACTTGCATCAAAAGCTTTTTACGAGTATCACCTCTCCCCAGTGATGGAGGAGGTAAGGTTCATCATCTTCTGGGATGTGTTTAGAGATCTTTCAAATCTGGAAAGATTGTGTGTCAAACCTAATACTAATTCATTTAGCATATGGATATGCAATGTTTTCTTCTTTCTCAAGAATATAATTTTTTGCAATGATATTGGAGTACCACTTATGTGTCTTCTCCAGATCCTTGAACAAATACGTTGTGCAAATTCCATTTGCAAATTATAGTTCAAGAAGCATTTAATTGCAGATGTGTTTTTAATGGTTTGATAAAATCTTAATAATTAAAGGTAGCTGTATGTACTCAGGTGAATTTTTCAGAAGGAGAAGGGACAATAAAATATTTTTTCCTGGGCTTAAGGTTTTTCTTTTGTGATATGACAGGAGGATAGTCAAACTATACATTTTCAAAATAACAAAAAGGATGTTAACATTGATAAATACTTAACTAATAGAACACACTAGTTTTTCTGTTTAAAAGCTTTTATGGTTGTTCTTTGACTTTTAAAATCCTCAGCTTAAAATTCACGAAAAGCTGATTCTTTTAAATGTTTTATTTTCTGAAGGAAAACATATGTTACTATAACTGGCAGAGTATAGAAAAAATACGTAAACACAGTTCTCATTTTGTTAACTTCCTGCATCTGGCAGAATGGCTGAATGATCATTTCCCTAAACAGAGGACCAGTGAAAGCAAGATGACCTCACTGTATTAAAAGGGAAGAAAGAAAGAAAGAAACCCACAACAGTTTAGCATGAGCACTGGGTACTCATCCAAAGAAGAGAGCTTCTATTTCTTCTGCAAGAATCTGATCCCTTTCTAAGGAATCCCTATTGAATTTGTACTCCTTTGAATAATTCCATTAGGAGTTGAAGTTCTTGTGCATGAGGCTTTTCTACTGCACAGATCTGTATTTTTATAGAGTCAACATTGGTTTTAATCACTTTTTCTAAGTTATTACATCATGTTTGAGACTGCTTAGATTCTAAATTCAAAACCTGGGAGGAGGGAAAGCAGTGGTCAGAAAATTCTTACTTTGGGAAATCCCTCTCATACTGTGGATTATTTTGCTTGGCAAGACCTACCAAGAAGTGAATGAGAGTTGCTGATGGAGTTGTCTTCTAAGGGTTTTGTATATTTAGTGTGATGGTGAAGAGTGTTGGGAGTCTTATTTAAGGAGGAAAAAAAAAAAATTCAAATCTTGGGAGGAGGAGAAGTGCGCAAATATGCAATATGATCTAACGTATTCACTTGATATTGGATTAAAGAACTACAGATATATGAATTTATACATTTCATGTTTCTCTAAAGATTGATCAGTTCTACTATTTTAATAAGATAAAGGAACATGCAACATGTACAGACACCACAGAAGAAAAAACCCACAGTGCTCTATTACAGTATATTAGTGTCTTTGGTTTTTTAGCTTTCTTATTTTTGTTAAAAGTTTATCTAATTGTTCTCTGTGTCGAAATCATTGTTCTAGACAGACACTTATTTTTGCAAGTATTTCTGACATACTTTTTTCTACCTCCCTTTGCCTCATATTGCAAGGGATTATGCATTTCTGTCTGTACTGTTTTGGGGGACTTAAGGGGCTTGCTGATGTACTAGTTGCCTTTTCTCTCTCAACTCTGTCTAGTGTCCTGTATAAGAAATAAGCTAGCTAATGAGGAAACGATTGGTAGTTGTAGCTTGTAAAATATAAATGTTTCGATGGTAAATTTCTTGCCTGCCTTTCCCAGTTAGTTCTTGCTATTTGTAGGGAATTGTTAGCTCTTCAAGGTGAATGTTGATCAGCACTGTAGCCCCAATTCTTCACTGGCTTGTAAGCTTAACTTTTTTTCCTGACAGTAGTTCCACTGTATCGTTCTTTGTATGAACATTAGAAATGCTGCAGCTGGCAATTGTTGAAGTCTTAAGCCTTTCTCATAACATCCGTTTCATGCTTCAAATAAGTTTTAAAAATTTTAGGAAATACTTTTACTACTTCATTTGAGATACTTAAATGAGTTCAGTTACGTTGAGGCTGAGGGTTGAACGCTCGACTTGGCTTGCAATGAGGCAGGGAAGAGCTGATAGCCCGAGTAATGCCTAGAGTAAGTTTACAGCCTCCAGCTTTGCAGCACTGTTTGCAACGGTACCAAGTCCTGTTCTGAAATTCATACCTGTCAGTCTTAATGTGTGAGGACTAATGCACAACTGACTTTGCCTTACCAGTTGCTTGTTTGTAGGTCTTTTCATCTTTGCAGTGCTGCTTTGCTCTTGTTCCTGTCCCTGTATGCCAGTTGCAGATGTGTCTGGTGCATAGGGAAGGAGGCAGTGATGCAGCATTGCAGCGAGATAGCGTGGCTTTGCACTCAAAGTCTTCTTTGTAAGACAAGTACTAGCTGGCTATATACACGACCCTCTGTCTTAGCCCCTCTCCCTTCATGAATTAGGAAAGGGTTTTGCATACTAGAAAAAAGATGGTTGTGATGTCCATGCAGTGACAAAAAGTATTGTTACACCTTTATCCATTGTGCTCTATCTCTCTTTGTGTCCTGTGTTCCCTTTCAAGAAGCTTTTTAAACTCCACTTAGTTAAGAAGACTTTTTACAAGGGCATGTAGTGACAGGACAAGGGGCAATGGCTTTAAACTGAAAGAGGGCAGATTTAGATTAGATATAAGGAAGAAATTTTTCACTCAGAGGGTGATGAGGCACTGGAACAGGTTGCCCAGAGAAGTTGTAGATGCCCCATCCCTGGAAGTGTTCAAGGCCAGGCTGGATGAGGCTTTGGGCAACCTGGTGTAGTGGACAATTTCCCTGCCCATGGCAGGGGGGTTGGAACTAGATGATCTTTGAGGTCCCTTCCAACTCTAACCATTCTGTGATACTGTGATTCTAAGAAGGCTGCTGCTTACGTTTTGCTCTGCTTAGATGTGTCTTGTTGGATTGCAGGAATAAATTTGAAGAGTGTAACTTCTTCTGCAAATGGTGATACTAAAATATAAATGTTTTGAATTAGGTGTCTCAGAGTATTTCAGTACCCTAAAGCTCATCAGATTAGGCTGTTTACAAAAACATCTATGTGTGATTGTCTATTACATCTGCTGTAATGGACAGCAGAATAGTTTCCAAAGAGCTTTTACAAAGAGAACATATCTTGAGTTTGCAAATCCATAGGGACATACAGTTATACTATGCCACGCTTCTCCCTGGCCTCTTTTTCCATCCTCCTGCACTTTTTTTCCTTCTCTGCAGCATAGATAATTCAACTTAAAATGTGAGGATAGAAGCATCTTCTCCAATCTAGGAATACTGATTAGGAAGCTACTTTATTTCTGGTTTATTCTAATGCATACTCCACAGCACTGCTGTGTTCTTTTTAATGTATAATGACATTTCTGCAATTCTGACATCTGCTGAATGTTGCAGATCTGAAAAAATGCTGTGTGTCGTGCCTTGTCCGTTTACTTTATGTTAAGCTAGTATGAGTATGACAGGTTTCCTCTTGTATCTTTAACGGAAGAGGGGAGCAGAGAATGCTCAATTTTAAGCATTGTCTCTTAAAGAGAACATGGGAAACTTTGTGGCAGACTTCAGACTGCCATAGGCCTGACATTTCATAAAGACTGACTTGCTGATATTTGTTGAGCCTAATTATAGTCTTTTTTTTTTTTTTTCTTTTTTTCCCCCCTCTTATCACTAGGTCCAAAGCAGTTCAGTTCTCTTGCATCTCATTGCTTTCTAGCCTTTAAAAGAACCTAATATATTTGAATCTGCTTAGGAAAAAATGCCTAGTGCTAGGGGATAACTAATGCGATAGTGACCCACTAGTTTGTCCTTTTAATTGAGTGTATCTGCAGGCTCAGATTTTCCACAGAAAAGGCTAGTTTGTCCTTGTGTCAACTGTTTGTTTCCTTGCAGTGGGGACGTTGTGGCTCTTTCTTGCCATCTGCATCTTCTTTTTCGCCTACCTGTTTGCCTGTGTCTTATAAACAGAGTAATGGAATGGGATATTAGTCTGACCTGCCTTATCAGATTTTGCAGACATATGGTAATCACTTAAGGTAATTAGCAAGGTAGTACTTCTCTTTTGTGTGCATGAATAGCTGATGTATTTGTGAATGGATGACCTAATATATTATTGTGATCTGTTATTAGAAAAGTGAAAAAAAGCACAAAATTCCCAACCAAAAAACCCAACAAGAACTCCTTCAGTTAAGTCTAAGATCACGTTTTCTATATTTTAAGATGTATAGAGAGGGAAGGCTACAAAAGCTATTGCTTATGAGCAAGGAGGAGCTGGTTGGGTAGGTCAAAGCTGGAGACAGCCTTTGCTGACTGTTGAGTTGGTGGAATTGTGAGAGGATTGTAAGGTGGATTGTGAGAGGAGAGAACAGAGTAAAAAGCAGGATAACAACCATAGATCTCAAGAGAGCAGACTCTGACCTCTTCCAGGATCTCTTTAAAAGAATCCCATGGGATATGGCTCTGGAGTGGAGGGGTCCAGGAGAGATGGTTGATTTTTCAAGGATCACCTCCTCTAAGCTCAAAAATGGTTCATCTCACTGGAACAGGAAATCAATCAAAGGTGGCAGGAGGCCTGCGTGGATGAACAACCAGCTCCTGGCTAAACTCACATGTAAAAAGAAAGTGTACAAGAGGTGGGAGCCAGGGTAAGGTGACCAGGGAGAAATATAGAGACACTGACCAAGCATGCAGGAATGGGTTAGGAAAGCCAGACACCACCTGGAATAGTATCTGGCAAGGAATGTGAAGGGCAACTAGGACTTCTGCAGGCTAATCAGCAGCAAAAGGGAACGTGAGGGAGAATGTGGGCCTGCTATGGAATGGGGCAGGGGAACTGGTGACAAAGGACATGGAAAAGGCTGAGGTACTATTCAGTGCCTTCTTTGCTTTAGTCTTTGCTGGTTAAGATTTGTCTGCAGAAATCCCAAGCCTCTGGAATCAGTAGGCGGGTCAGGACCAAAGGAGGCTTACCCTTGGAGGAGGGTCAGGTTAGAGACTATCTTAAGAAGATGTACCTAAGTCCATAGGACCTGACTGGAGTGCTGAGGGATCTGGCCCTTGTCATTGTGACATCACTTGATTATTTTCAGAAGGTAATAGTCATCACGGAATGTTTTTAATGACTGGAATAAATGTCTCTCCCATCTTTGGAAAGGATAAAGGGATGGATCTAGGTGACTGGAGGCTGGTCAACCAGAAGATGTTGGAGGAATAATTCTGGAAACCATTTCAAAAAATATTAAGGACAAGATGGTGAGTAGTCAGTATGTATTTAGAAAGGGGAAATCGTGTCTGACTGACCCGATAATCTTCTCTGATGAAATTACTAGTTTGTGGCATGAGGAGAGGGCAGTGGATGTTGTTTATTTTGGCTTTAGCTAGCAAGACATTAAACACTGTGTCCTTTAACATCCTCAGAGAAAAATTGGTAAAGTATGGGCTAGTTGAATGAACAGGTGAACAGTAAAATGGACTGAGCTCAGCGAGTTCAACCAGATTCAGAGGGTTATGATTAGTGGCGTGAAGTCTAGGCTGGAGGCCGGTTACTAGTTGTCATACACCACAGAGGTCAGTACTGGGTCCAGTACTGTTGACATCTTCATTAATCACTTGGATGATGATGCAGTACATCCTCACCAAGTTAACAGATGACGCAAAACTGAGGGGAGGGATTGATAGAGGATTGGGTTGGCTGGACAGGCTGGAGAAATGGGCTGACAGGTTTCTCATGAAATTCAATAAAGGGAAACATGAAACTGTGTACCAGGGGAGGAATAAGCTGCAGCCTGTACTGGTGTCTTGAGAGACTGGCTTAAAGCAGGTCCCTTGTTGAAAAAGATCTGTGCGTCCTGGTAGACAAGAAGTTGAACATGGGCTAGCAATGTGGCCTTATGGCAAAGGCAGCCAACAGCCTCCTGGGCTGCGTTAGGAAGAGTGTTGCCAGTAGGTCCCTTCCAACCTCAACCACTCTTCAGTCTGTGAAAATAAGCTAAAACTACTGAAGGGGCAGAATCCAGAAATCCTGAAGTGTGTAAGGATATAACTATACATAGCAAATCATTCTACATTTACTGCTTTGCTGTATTTTTATATGATGGGTTGATTTGATACTTAACTGCCTCCTTTGCAGTATGAGGTTAGCTACTTTGTCAAGAAGATTGGAGAAAAATGAGGCAATTTGAACAGGCTCGTTTTTGATTGAAATGCTGTTCTATTTCTATCAGTGTGATTTCAATACATGTGCCGGCTTATGTCTCAATATGAAACTATCTTCAAAGGCATTTGTATAGAGAGGAAATATGGTTATTAGTAGGGATTTTAAGTGGGATACTTTTTTAAGTCACTTGCAGTTCTGTGAAGGATGTTTTGGTGGGGTTTTTTTTTGGTTTTTGGATTGATTTTTGATGGTCTTGGTTTGAGGTTTTCTTGTGAAATTTTTTTTTTCAGACTGTTACAAACTGGTGTCCTTTTGCATATCTTGCCCTCAAATGCTGGTCAAATGCTAGAAGAGTCTAAGAACAGGCAGGGGTAAATGACAATCTAGAGCAGTCTTCTTCAGAAGACTGGTCAGAAGAAAAGGAAACACTTCTGTTGATTAAGTAAACAGTCTAAAATACTGTATTGGTGGGATGCACATTAAAGCCTGCATTACATTATACTCATCCTATGTTAACTTTAATTTTGAGTCTTTGCTTATATCTGTCTGTGCAAGAAATTTTGCACTCCTCACTGAGGTCATTATTCTGATTAACATTTGATCTCTAAAAGTACTGAGGAAACACTATGTAAAATAAAATAAAGGAAAAAAACTAGGAGCCTACATGATAAAACTAAGAACTATTTCTTGCTACTCCTAGTCTTGGTAAGCTGCAGTTTCGGTTTGATGGTTAATGAAAAGAAGATTTAGGAAGAAAGAAATGATCAGAAGCAGACAGGCTATCATGATTCTTAATGAGTACTTCTATATAGACCTATTCTATACCATATTCAGCCATTCTTCATTTTCAAAGGAATGGAATAAAATTTTCTTCATAGACCTGATGTAATGGAAACTGGAGACACATCCCCCGTTTAGTGGTCCCTGAATGTGAATGGTAAAACATGGTTTCTCAAGTCTCTAGATGTAGCTTCATTTGTAACTCAACAGTTTATTTTATTTTGAGGTTGTAAGTTACAAACTCTGAAAACTGGATCAAGAGTATGTGAGGAGACAGTTGCATCTGTTGTCTTACAGTATTTAGATTACCTGCTTTCAAAGAGAACTGAGAGGGCACAGTAAGTCATAGTTAAAACATTCTACTCTTTGTTGTAAAGGTAGTGTTATTGTCAATAACTTCAGGCAGGTAAAATTGTGGACTAGTAGCAATAAATCATTTTCAGACAGGAAAAAAAGGGAACAGAACTTAATTTTTAGGAAAAAACACAAAATTCCTTCTACATTTCCATTAGCGTCTGGAACACTGATATATGTCAAGGAAAGAATAGCGTCTTAATATTTGTCTGTCCCTTAAGGTGTGTGAGTATCTCTGTATGTGCATATAAGTATATATACATGTTCACACACATATGACTATTTATTTCTCACGTTTCTTTCTGATAGTGCCTGAAGCTGAAATTTCTAGGGAGGCTGCTGACATGGAAATGAATAGAGAAAAGTATGTGGAAGAACTGAAGAAAGCATTGATAGCTGGAGAAGAATCAGCTGGCAAATATAACTTTGCTGTTTCAAGAGATGATGAAAACATGGAGTGCCACTTCTCCTATGAAAGAAATCTGAAAGATGGCTCTGTAAGTATAGTTAAATGTTTAAATTTGTCTGTTAAAGTATGAGAAGGACCTTCTTGATGCATTTCTATGTTTTATTACGTTATTTAAAATCAAATAGACCTGTGATACACATTTCAGATTGAATGAATATTGTGAACTCTGCCATGGGCCAAACTAGAATGAGGTTTGTGGTTTCCTATGAAAACCTGGTATCAATAGAACTATTTCTGTGTTACTTTTTTAAATGCTACTGGATAAGAGTGTTACTTCTCTATTTAAAGTTTTGGCTTAGTGTAGTGATAGGACAAGGCGTAATAGTTTTAAACTGAAAGAGGGTAGATTTAGATTGGACATAGAGAAGCTCTTCCCTCTGAGGGTGGTGAGGCACTAGAACAGGCTGCCCAGAGGAGCTGTGGCCGTCCCATCGCTGGAAGTGTTCAAGGCCAGGTTGGATGAGGCTTTGAGCAACCTGGTGTAGTGGAAGGTGACCCTGTGCGTGGCAGGGGGGTTGGAACTAAGTGATCTTAAGGACCTTTCCAACCCTAACCATTCTATGATTTATGTTTTGGTGTTTGTTTAAGCAGGGTATGCCTATGTTTTGGAGCTGTAGTTTAGTATTAAGCTGCTATGTTTCATAAGCTGTAACTTTGTTTTCAGTCCCTAACTTAGGAAGTATGTTTCCTTTTTAAATTCCAGCCTTCAATGGATTTGTTCTTTGCTTGTTTCTTCTTTCTTCTCTCTCTATACTCACCTAAATAAGGAAAAATATTAAATTTTAAGTAAGATTATTTTTAAATGCTAAAATATACTTTTAAAATGAGCTTTTCTATTAATTTAAAGATTTTTGGAAGCTAACAGTGAAATTGTTTCTTGCTTTGAAGTGAATTAAATTACAACTGGGGATGTGATTCCGTGTTGGTTTCTTGGCTGCAAAGGAAAGGACTGTCTTAAAGCAAGAAAGAAACCAGTATAATCTGTATCTGTAGACACTTCTGTCTATTTAAGGTTGTGGTTTCGTGTTAAAACTTTTCTGGGAAAGAAGCTGATTTAAGGTAATCATCCTTACTTGTACTCTTCCTGCCACCCTGAACTCCCTAAAAATTAATACTCTGCCTTTCCCAAGGTTTGTCACAGCTTCAGTTATGCTAGGATAGTAGTTGGGCTGACTGACCACTCAGTTACATTAGTGAAATAATGTGGATTTAAAAAGCACTACTTTAAAATTGCACTGATGTAAATTGCACTGATTTAGTTCAGGGCACAGTTCTGCAATCAGTTTCTCTGGCATTATTGAGGGGAAGAAAATTGCAGATAGAGCATGGAGATGAGATTGCAGACACAGAAGAGTAGGAGTGTCTTTGGCCATATCTTTTTTTTCACCTGGGGAAAAAATCTAGCATGGAGTTGTATCTGGGAGCAAAGTATCTAGGGATTGTCCTACCTGCTTCATTTAAAAAGATTTCTGCTTCAGAACATTGGCATGTGTTTTGCACCTCATTTGGTTAATTTTGGCAGGTATCACCTTGTAAGAAACTAGCAGAGATGTCTGACTTGTAACAAAAAAACAAACCAAAGAAACTACCTTCTCTGGGATGTGTCAGTGGAAATACTTTTGTCCTCTAAATTGGAAATAGACAAAGAATGCAGGATAGCAATTGGTCACAAACCTGAAATGGGAATATGTATATATTTCATGTACATGTATCTCTTAGATGAGATGGGGAAAAATTCACTTTAAAGAGGAGGAGCATTTATATTACCTAATCAGTAGCAGCTCACTTACATGGTTATAGTCAGAGTCTTGGCTTCATTTTAGTAAGCAGAGGAAGAGAGATTCAGTAGAATGAAGTTCAGCTCCTTACGAGTACTTCATTATAGGCCTTTTTCCTTGTGTGGTATAGGAAATTTCACCACAATTTGGTTGAAGTGCCAGAAGTTAGGTAATGTAAGTTTTGCAATTGGCATTATCAATATTTCTGTGTATTTACCCAAGGCCTTACAGGCTCTATACCCTCTTCTGGACACTTCTTGGGAGCACACAGGGCTCAGTGCTGTTCATAAAGGGTCTAGGTCAAAAGTACTATATTACATCAGGATTGCAAGGTTGGGACCAGATTTTACTTAGAAAATCAGAGCAGTAATTTTAAGAATCCTGTTTTTCTTGTCTGTGTCACACATAATATATTCTAAATACCAGACAGATGAAATACATAATATTTTTTTTATTGAAGGAAAATATCTTCATATATATGGGCCCATCTAATATAGGTTTCCATCAATTAAGGCTTACGAGAAATTTAATTCGTATGAAAACATCTTTATGTCAATTTGGGAAAATAATAATCTGGCCAAAGAAATTGAAAATACAAAGTGTCTTGAGTGCTATGCATGCTTTTAGCTTTGGGTGTCAAAAGAGTGTTTTTAGAAAAGATGTAATTTCGTGGGTGAAAATGCACCTTTTTTTCCTTCTGTACTAAACTAATGCCTACAAATACAATTGCCAAAGCCTTTGTCAGAATTACAGATAGCTTTCAGGTCTGTAAGAGAATATATTTCAATCGTTTTGCAAATTTTCTGTGGAAGTATCCATGATGTATGTCTTTCACCATCAGATTAGGAAATTAATCTTTCTGGGCTCTGTACATCCAGAGGACTGAAGTTCAGCTAAACGTACGTTTACCGCAGAGGGAGCCTAGAGAAACTACTCTGCAATTTAAACATGACTTAAGTTCGGTGTTTATCTCTGAACAGTACTTATTTTTCTTACTGAGTATTTGTCTTTATGTCTTTTGTTTAGTAGTTATGAATATTTTCTCTT